CATGAGAGAACGCGAGTTTGTCATTATAAAATTCTTCACAGTAACTAACGTTTCGGCACCCCGTCTTCCTCTGTAGTAATGATTCAAGTGGATTTTCCACACCCTTTCATTTTTTCGATGCCGGTCTTTGTAGCCGCATAGAAACAGTGAGGCCAATCAATTGGGATGAAGCCTCTTTCGAATGAAGTAGTCTCAATCGATGCTGCCCTTTTATAGAGGACGGTTGTTGAATATTGTCCATTGATAATAATTTGGTTTCCCTTGGTCAATAGATTCTTGAGCATACGTTTGTAGATTAGCTAGCGCATAAGAAAGCTATAATTTCGTATAATGGCTTTCATTTAACCTCGATATCTATGTGTTTCTGCCAAGATAACTTTATCATAGGTGGTCCACAACGGATCTTCTGTTGGTCGGCGGTGGAATATTCTGCTTTACACAAAGCTAGTTTTCCTGTCGGTGGTCATAACAAGGAATTTCTCTTAGTTCTTCTCCAAAATGATCTACACTTCTCAGCCAATAGAGTTTTATTGCCTCTTTTCAAGGGAGCTGCAAATGAGGGTGGTAGAACAAAAAAAGCCAGAGAACTCTGAAAGGCCTGTGTAATCAAAGAATCAACAAAAGTGATAGTACTGTTTTCAGAACTCATGCGGATCGCAGCATTTTCATTGGTCTCGCTGCGTCTCCACGGTCATCCTCTGCTATCTTTTCCCACTGATTCGTAAAATGCTGATAGAGCGCCATTTTAACTACGAAGCCGAGATAGCTGCTTTATGTCGTCCTCATGTTTTCACTACGAGCAGTTTGTTAGCCAAAGAGAAATTTGCTTCCTTGTGATTCGATCTCTTCTAGGACTTCAATTCCCTTGATAACAAAAAATCCCGTGGTAACTTAACTCCAGAAAATACTTGAAGACAGGACGATATAAAAGGTCAATGGTGGCCAATCATCGATCATTCGTAAATTGAAAATCATCAAAAATTTGCTAAAAAGCATGATAAATAAACGTCCAATCAGCTGGACGAGAAGCACAGAGATCGTTTTTAAGAAATATGCTTGTAATTCTTTTTTCCATCCTTCTATTTACCTTTCCGTGATCTCACGTGGAAATCTTCTAGTGAAATCACCTTATATAGAATTGGAATATGGACAAATTTTAAAGGCCAGATCCAGATTTCTTAGATTTCCCTTCCAAGCGCGGGTCCGGTGAACACAGGCGATGTTTTGTGGAACAGCATCGCGTATAAAGCATAGCCAAGTATTCGGAAAAAAGCTGCTGCTAAAACACATGCGATAAATAGGAAATAGCAAATCTAAAGTCAATTTCCGAACAGCTTAACAATCTGATAAGACAACGGCTCACAGATGCTCCATCGAATTTTAAACCACTGCTTAATGCTGAGTTCAAATCATACAAGCAAATTAAAACAGACTGCTATTAGCTCGCCACGGATTTCCAATTACAGTTCGTCACTGTGGAAAAGCAGAACTGTGTAAACGACGTAATTTAAGAAGGTTCTAGAAGGTTCATAGATGGCATTCATTTGTCTATATATGGGATTGTTAACTGTTTCTTACTGTGCAAACAACGTAATTTGAAAAGATTCACAAATGGCTTTCATTTGTCTACATACGGGATTGTTAACAGTTTCATAACTTTTGCAGTCTCATCGAGCCTTTTTCATACAATAATATCGAAATCGAAACACCATAAATTCCATCGAGGAGGAGCTTCCCAAAGATTTTAACAGCCCATAGACGAGCAACGTGGTAGTTTCAGCTGTTCTGCGATTAGTTTCGTAGTATTGCAATAATCACCCATAGAAGTGGATGGATTCGTTTATGGTTTCGACTGCTGCTTGACGATCTAATACCTACTGTCCTCATTTAAGTGTGAAATGCTGGAAGTGTCGTTTTTCCTGCTTTTTTAAATTTATGATTTCCGACTTGAGCGCAGCAAAAATCTTAGTCGCTTAGACAATGGTGAAATAATTGCGAACGTAAAATTTCACGATCTACCATTAATTATGGAAAGGAAATCAATTATCATAAACTTTATTTACAATTCAGGATGCATGCAATTAATTATTTTTTTGCAAGGGGTATCGTTTTAAATAAGGACGCATTTATGACACTAGCTGAGGAATAAGGGCGCGTGTGGCGCAGTTTTCGGAGGCGCCTTGCAATACACACTTGGAACCGATCTCTGCGCTCATGGCCCACCAAGCCTTCCATCTCTCCCTGGTCGGAAAATTGGTATCAGACTTGCCTGGAAGGATAGCAGTACTGGCTCGATACCACGGCAGGCCGCCACGAGTCATTTTAAAGGCCAGATATTCATTCAATTACCTCCAAACGATTCTTAATGAAGTCGAATGAATGGCGCATCACACAGGGATTGATCAACGCCTAGAGCTTTACCCTTTTATTCTTTAACTGAAATATATCATCTGGTTCTTACACATTATACTTATTCTATTTTCCACGTTGCATCGGCATGGGTGCCCGCGGTGTCTGGTAAATCTTCCATGTTCTGGAATTTTCAGAAAAAAATTGCGGCATACCCCTCCTGGCCCTCCGGGCTTACCAATTCTTTCAACCTTCCGGGGTTACGAGCGGGCCACCAGATAGCTTTTCTGCCAGCATAGCTGCATTGAAGTGATCCATCGGTGAGCTACCGGATTCGTCGTATAGGTTAGATGAGCACTCAGTCACATCCAACAATGTTTAATGAAGTCGAAAGCAAAGTACAGTCCTCGTGGATTGGTCAATGCTGAACTTTATCTCCTATTTTTATCTCTACTCGGTAAGAAGGATGAAGACATACTCCGCAGCGAATTCAGAATGCGTTCTCTTCACAACGGATATAAGTTTTCATATTCTGCTAATTGTTAATTCTGCCAATATACATAATATACCCATTTTCATCATGATTTGTGATACGGCCTACATTAGCTAAAGCGTTTAGTTTGGTCTTATATGAACCAGATACTCTGCAATCAAATGCTTTATTTGCGTCAAATTTTAAATCCTTGAAAATCTTGTGATAGGAGCAGAAATGTTACAAGCATTTGCAAAGAAAAAAAAGAATAAACAAGCTTCGCACCGCTCGGTGAGAAATGGCGTGACTTCTTCCTTATCGCCAATGGATGAGAGTACACAACATACTAGTTGCTAAATTAGCACTGAACACCAGTTATTCTTAAACAATACTATGCATATGATATATTTGTCCTTTTCTCACTTATTACAGCCCCGTTACTTGTACTTTCTCTTTTCTGTGCTTTCCTTTCTGAATGGATCAATTTGAATTGTTCTTTGTAACTAGAGAAGACAAGAAGAATACTAAGCGTTTGATGAAGTACTCTTTTTTCAGCATATGACTTTTTCTATTTATTCTGATAGATTTATAGAGATATGGGGCAATTGAGATAAAAATCTGCAGATCAGTAGTGTAAACTGGTCTCCATACTTAATTGAAATTCACCTGAAGAAATTAGCCCGTGAGGAAGAAGCTGCCTTAGAAAGGATGCGACACAACGCAAAAAAACGCAACAGTGATGAGGCGAGAATCAGCAAATTATCACCATATGTTTTGAAAGCCATATCCCAAAGAATGATTGAATTTATTACTTTTTCATGCAAAATGAATGGTGCCAATATGAGAGAAACGTTGGTTTATTTCTTCGTAAAAACACGGCAAAGTGGGTTATTTCCAAGAAAGAATATCGTTGATTTTAATTAAGTCGTTAGAGATGCAAATCGGTTGTTTTCCTTTTTCTGAAGTTTAACCGATTTAGTTGAACCCAAAAAGGACGCGTTTTCACTTAAGAACGTATTCCCCAGTGTAATTGGTGAGCCCTGTAAACTCTTGCTGACCCACGGCTTGTGGTCTCAGTCGTTGATTAGAGCGCTCGATTGTTATCTGCATCGCAATAGTGCGCATCGAACCAAACATATCAGGACTGCGGCACATTTCACTAGCACCTCAACTCCTCACATCATACCTTATCGAATTTTCCCTTCCTTCAATAGCTAACGTCCTATATTGTGATATGTGTTGAGATCGAGAAAGAAGACATCATCTGCTTAGCAACTTAATTTCACCTTTTAAATGTTCGGTGATTGTGTTCCGTTTTTTCCTTGAAAATTTTAGGTGCTTCAACACATCTCAAAACATTATTTACTTGCCCTTAGCGTCCTTATTGTGAATAAGAGCAAAAATCTTGATATAATGCATAGTAACAAAACAGTTTTTTTAATTTTTTAAAATCCACCACGACAGTGAATGACGAAATGAAAGATAGCATCTCAAGTATTTTACAACGGAAATATGAAACGTGACTGCAATTCTTAGCTTACGGACGATTTGAAGAATTATACGTTGTTATGCTTATATAAAGGGCGCTTGAGGCTCAGTGGACGGAGGCTCCCTGTAACACACTTGGAATCGATCCCAGCGCCCATGGCACCCAAGCCTTCCTTCCCTCCAGGTCGACAAATTGGTACCAGACTTGCCTGGAAGAATAGCAGTACTGGTTCGATACATCGGTAGGCCACCATGAGTCATTGTAAAGGCCAGATATTCATTCAATCACCTCCAAACGATGCTTAGTGAAGTGAGATTCATGGCGCATCCCTCAGGGATTGATCAACGCCGAGAGCTTTATCCTTTTTTATGCTCATGTACACCTAAAGTATAATCGATATGCCTTTTCAAATTAGCGATGAAACTGATGAAATATCCTAAATCGCCTGCTCTTCTCCGGATTTCCCTGTCCTGGTGAGTCTTTCTTAATTGTAACATTGCTATCCGAAGACCGGATGAAACACTTGAAAAAGTGTTCAACACAGGAAATGTTTGATACGAAAAATAAACATGGCTTTACATTTAGTAATTTGGGTCGTTCATATGCTTCGTCGTCTTTTTTTTTGAAAAGACAAATCGCACAGCTGTAGCAATGCAATCTAAAAACTTTTATAGAGCTTTTAAGGGAACAATGTCTTGGAGGGTAGAAGATGTGTATTCCAATCGCTCTGTTATGCTTACCGGATCGACCGGATTCCTAGGAAAGGTATTGGCTAGTGTTGCGGCTTCGCCAACTGTTTGAAAATTGCTGGATTAGTAAGGATTGCCTCTCGTATGTTGATATGACGTTGACAATAAATTAATTACGCATGTGCTTGCATAACATTGAAAATTGCATCCCACATAGTAAACTAAAGGTAAGCACCAAATTTGACGTTCATAGGTTCTCGTTGAAAAACTGCTATGGTCCGTACCTAGTATTGGTCAAATATTTCTGCTCATTCGTCCAGCGAAGGGCATGTCACCGAAGGAACGGTTCGATAAGGTTTTGCAGGTAGGAAGTACATCATTTCAATAGGATACGCCTTATTTATGATCATCATTTTTTGCTCACCCCATATTACAAGGAGGACAGTTTGTGAGCCATATTCCGCAAATTAAGGATCCTCTATTTGATCGAGTCCGTAAAAAGGCCCCTGATCGGTTCAACAAGCTAGTGCCAGTTTCTGGTGATCTTATGGAGGACAATCTTGGGCTGAATCAACACGACATGCAGAAAATATGCGATCAGGTTTATACGGAATTTTATACGTTGATGTCTTTCCAGTGACACCGCTATATTTCACCACGTTTGTTCTGGTTATCACCGATATGTCAGAACACAGTCAGTGATTCGTATTGACAACACATGCTGTTTCTCGCTGTTTCAGTCTTTTTAGGGTTGTAAATACATTGACATAACATAGCATAAATACATAAAAACGGTTATTGATTTAAATAGGCACGGGGACACCGAAGAATCTAAAGTCTGATGTGATGGTGATGATGATGTGGAACTCCACAAGATAAAAAATTGTTGGGAGTGACATTGTATTTTTGTGAGCAACTTCAAGAAATAAACAAGCTAGTGATCCAAAAAAAATTTATTTATGCTTCATTGGACTTCTTGCCATTCACCCTTTGCCTATTCATTAAGATTTTCAGGTCAGTATTGTTATACATAGCGCAGCCATAGTAAAGTTCGACGAGGAGCTCAGAATTGCTGTGGAAATGAACGTCGTTGGAACAACGAGGCTTATTGCACTGTGCCATAAAATGAAAAAGCTAATGGTTAGCTAAAGAATTTACCAAATATATTTATAATGAAGATACGGCTCCACTGGTGATTATTTTTGCTTACCCTCTCAGTGCTATCAATATTATTGCCAAAATATGGCATACCAGTGCCCACTAGCTTAACATAAACAACAAGTGACATATTTAATTCGCATCCATAGGCAGAATGAATGAATACAGCGCCTAGAGTTGGTGAATCTATGAGAGATGTACCGTGTATTCGAGGTCATCAAGCATCGTAGACATCACTTACGGTGCCCTATCGATGCATTAACTTAGCGCTGATATCCTGCTAGACAAGTTTGGTACCAATCTGCAAACTCCTAAAGGATGGAAGAGTTGCTGAGCACAGAGCACGTCATCGAACCAACGGAAACGCGTCTTGAAAGCATGCTCTAACAACTGCGCTACATGCACTCCATATACATATATGGTGCACACTTTTAGCACATTTCCTTGTGTGCAATGGAAACCACCGTTCTTGTCTGGACATTGCAAAACTATGTTTTCTGGTTTAAAAAATTGGAAAATTTGAAACAAAGTACGAAGTTTATAGCTGCTAATCATCCTGTTCTTTTCTGCATATCATTGCTCGATGTTTGACTGTAATGCAAGCAAATTATTTCACAAAATCAGTAGATAGGCCAAGTGCTTGCAATGGTCGTTCTCTTATCAAACCGATTGACCTATTGTCAGTTAATTGATTGAGGTAATGCCTTTGAATTACTGCATAAACACGCAAGGCGATAAGTTTATGTAGTCAAACACAAGGAACTGAATTCAGGATAGAAGGTATTTAGTGAAAATTGTGGCATATATCTTTTTCTAGGTCATTGTTCATGTTTCCACAGCGTACGCTAATTGTGACCGCGTCGAAACAGAAGAGAAGGTACTTCAGTGCTCAAAGTAAACATGGAAACCCTTCAACTCTATTCAGGTTTACGACCCTCCAGTGGTTCCACAGAAACTTCTTGAGGCTATTCAATGGATGGACAATGATATGATCGCTTTGGTTAGAAAATGCAATCTTAGATTGTAGTGCTTCATTTTCAATACCGTATTTCGAAGTACTACTCTGATGAGAGACTTATTGTGTAATAGTTTTCGATAGTTTTTTTCCTATTCAAGTCTTATCTAGGATTTTTAAGAATAGGTCGAATTTTTTGGATGTGGCTTGTTCCATGCCTAATAATGTTTAGTTCTCCTAATAACGTCATCTAAAGTGCAACCTAATTCAAGAAATTGTTCCTCTAAAAGTAAAATTTTCAGATCACTCCAAAACTTCTTGGTAATAGACCGAACACGTATACTTTAACCAAGGCACTGGCTGAGGTGGAACTCCTTTAATTATAAAATTAACTTCTTTAAAGACTAAAGTAGTCTGCCAAAAATTATCATTTGGCTAGCTAATCAGTTATCAACACCTGTTGTTACCCATATTGGTGACAATCATATTGTTCCTAGACACAACTTGTCGAGGACGCGAAACACCTTCCAGTGATCATTATTCGACCATCCATTGTGGGAGCTATGTGGAAGGACCCCCTACCAGGGTGGACGGACAATATCAACGGACCTACTGGCATCTTTGCCGCGGTATCTTTTCATATCATACAACAAGTTGATAGAGGAGTTCTAGTGGAATTTTGAAAATTGTTGCGGTAGACCACTTCAATGGTGAATACGAGCAAACATCCCGTTCAAAATGGCTTTTTCAAAAAATCAACCTTGTTAAAATTCGTTAGGTCTCAAAGGGTCAGTAACAAGTCTATAAAATTATACCTAATGACATGTTGGGAACACAACATGTTCGTTACCATGCGCTTTGATTTCATTGTGTGCATACCTGAAGATAAAGGCGCCTTTCAAGTATAAAAACAACGACCCATAGCGAACTACAATGGGAATCTTGTAAAATATACGATCCGTGCCAACAATATATGACTCTTTCTTATCACACCACTGTGAGACCCCAATTTTCCAAGAGCTAACAAATCTTTTTCTCACGTTCTCTCTGTTGACCCCTGCGCTTCGAATCCCCTAATGCAATAATGTCCATAATTACAAATACCAAGTCCTGCGATGGGAATTTCAAAGACTATATTTCGTTTGCGTTTCTAAGGAGTTTAATGCATCTTAGGAAAGTTATTTGAGAGACTAAAAAATACCCTTAAAACTACCAAGTTTTTTCTACTATCTCAGGTGCATAAATGTCGAAAAATAGCGGTTTTGAGAATGCGTTAACTTCATGTCTTCATTAGCTTCTTCAAAATTTTAGTACAATCGCACTCTTCTTACCGATCGATTATAGGCGGACAACATTAGCATGCCAAAAACTTGGTAGGCTACCGTATCTCTGATTATGGCGAAGAATTCGTTTTTGTATTTTAATTGATGTCCACATTTTTGGCTGGAATTCGAAACACCATCATGTCACGTGTTTCACGACCTCTACTGCTTGCGTTGAAGTTTTCATTCTATCTACTCAGACGTTCTGCCTGCGAACATTCATTGACTGCGCTTTACTAAAATAATCAGCCGAAAAAAAGCGTTTGTACCACTGTCCAACGCTATCTAATCCTATCCTCAGACCATCAGAGAAGCTCATTTGTTATGGCTACAAATATATAAAATGATAATAAAGAATGAACATTCACTTTTTTTCAAAGACCCCTCATCATTTTCTTTATTGGCAAACAGAAAGATGTTACTACAGCATTCATCCATTCACAATAGTTGACGTTCCGGCGTTTTTCTCTTCTCGAGCTTGGGAGGTCCAACTGACGTGCGATCTATAATAAATCGCCAAACGCTTACATAACCTCAACAGGTAAAAGGCCGTACATAAATTTTAAATACATACGGAATTTTGAGGAAGACGAAGCCGCCGAGGCGTCCGCTATTGCAAATGTGTGGATACTGTAACAGCAATTTCGTGTGTTTTTATGAAGGAAATGGTGTCTTATTGTTAGTGCGAAGGTTAAAAAAAAGTCGTTCTTGGGATTTGCTCCGTTAATGTACCTCTTTCCATATTTCATGCGAATTCTGATAAACAACTACCTGCTCGAAGCAGAACTGTGTTTCTTATGGATATTTATCTGTTTCTTATGGAGATTTACACTTTGCCCTTCCTACTGATAGCATGCAAGACGTTGTTTAGGTTGGCAAAGGAGTACTCACTAACATGTGTGGAAGTATCAGTTCAAAAGCTGACATAATACCAGTGGACATCGTTGCCAATATGATCATTGTTGCAGCAGCGCACAGAGCCACAAACGTGTTAGTTCATCTTTCACTATGCCTCACTTTCTTTCTCATTGCTTCACTCTGGCGCTCAGTAAGACTCCATATTTTTCGAAGTTGAGGAACCAGTTTACAAAATGGCACAGGAATTCTTGTTCGCAACACCTAGTATGGTATTTTACGCCGCTTTTTTCGTTTTCGCTTCTTATTGAACTGGGCGCTATTGCTGAAAAGAGTTCATTTTGATAAGTACATGAAGAGGAGATTTCACAGAATTATTAACACTCTGCGATTCTGAAATGCTTACACTTTTGATTCGTTTCTTCTTTCCTAGACCTGGAGCAAAAACATTGTCGTTAATAGATAGGGAAGGCGATTTAATGAGGGTATCTGTTTTCTGGCATCCATCATCCATGAAGGTCTTCGAACTTTTCGCCTGTAGGTTCGCTGCTTGTGGATTGCCGCCTCTTTTGATAACGTCGTTGATTACCGAAAGAGTTAACTCTCTATGGAGTCCTGGGACAGGCGGGATAAAGCGTTCTCATTTGGAGTGAAGGGAGTATACTGTCGCCAGACATGTCTAGTACCAATTTTTTGAACCCGGAGGGTTGAGAAGGATGGTGGATCCGTGAAGGTGCAGGGCGAACACTGTGTTCGTGATGAATAGCATCACTACAACTTCGCCACCTGCCCGCTTAATTCTACATCATAATGCTGAAAACTTTGCACATTGATGGAGTGTAAAAGAGATAATTTTTTTCTTATTTTTTTATATTTTCTTTTGAAGGATTATCTTTTTTATTTGATCTAAGTATGGTAGTTAGTACGTGAAATAAGGCACCTGGGCACAATGATTGAAAATTGAATCCCTATTTTAAAACTCTTATAGTTTATTTTTAATTATATATTAACAAAAAATAGATACAAAAAAAGCATAAAAATTTTATTTTAAGTTTTATATAAGCACAAATTCAGTACGAAAAAAATCGCAGGATATTAGGTCAGGTCATCTCGATGCCATTTAAATGGACCACGACCACCACTTCCTAGGGAATTGGAACGGCGACCGCATCTTCCAATGTGACTTACAGATCCTGTAGCCATATGTTTTTTAAGGAAACTTTAATCGTTTTTACGTCAACTTGATGATATTTTCCTTTAATTGGCCTCACCACTTTTGCGCTTGACCAATAGATCTCCAGATTTCGTAACGTGCTGCCAGCTGGGCATCCTCCTACAAGATAAGATGCCTTATGTTCATAAGACTTCCAAATTTTAAACAAAGTTATTTAAAAAACGGCAACTGATTTTGTTTTTATACATTGAGAAGCACACGCAAAAAATTAAGGAAAGCTACCAATAAATCAAAAAATATAAATATTTTAAGTCACCCTCTATAATTACTTCTCAATCAACTCGATTAACAGGTGAACATAAAATATTCGTACGTTAGTCAGGGCCTATAGTAATGCCGCTAAAGTATTGGTCGGATCCTAGCTGGAACTATTTGAACTATTATTAATAAAAGTATCCAGATCGTTCGTTCGAGGGCACGCAGTACAACGCATACTGTAGAGCGGGCGATAGAAAATGCTCAGCTAGTTTACCGCCTTTTGACAGGTCTTAAAGGATATACGAACTTCTTGCCAAGTTTACTTCCAGTCCGTTAACTATTTTATTCATTGTCTTTCTCCTTGAAAACCATTGCGATGGTCACATCCAAACTTTCCCGGTGATAAAAAGAACAGATGACGAATACGACATCGACTCTGTGAAGGTTTCCTCCCCGTCGTGAGTCTTTCTCCTATCTTAACGAACTTCTCCAACTTTGGAGAACTTTGGAAAACTTTGGAGAGAAACTTTGGAGAATGTAAAGAATTACTCCAACTTTGGTCCTTTTTTGTGATTCTGTTAAAAGATTAGCCCTAAATTTTGTAAGTGCTTTATTGTTTTCTACCAACTCTCTTACGTCTGCAGACGGATTTCTTTAATTATTTCACTTTTAAAGATTGAAGTGTACAATACTATAACGTGAGCACTTTCAGTTACGATGACATTCCTGTTATGCATTGTGCTTCTGGCGACCTCAATCCGTTGAAGTGGGAAAAAGTCGTAAATTTCCTTGAACAATTTTACCATGAAGTACGCTTTCTATCGCTCTGCTCGGAAGAACTAAAACTGAATATATGAGTCAGATCCGTTGCAGTACCCTATGGAGCAATGCTTTGCAATACCGTCCACAAGGTTCCACTCGAGCCGAAAAATGTTCGAGCTCAACTACTACATAAAACATCACATTCCAGCAAATGCAGTGGATTTCATAAACGGGTTGATTGGCCGAAAAAAAAAGTTGACCGTTCCATTAAAAATTATCTAATGTACCAATTTCTGGCCCGACTAATTTTCCATCACTTACTAGGAATGTACGACTATACTCGAGGGTGTGGCGAATGGTTGAAACTCTGCATTATTTCACAACACATGGATGGACATTCCATTCGAAGAATTTGCCAAAGCTTTGGGAGGCACTAAGTGTCGAAGACCAACAGGCATGTAATGTACCTTTTTCTGAAATAAAACCAAAAGAAAATAGCCTTACGAAGCCACATTGTTAGCCTAAAATATGCTACTTTTAAGGCAAAGTTTCAGATTCATACGCGCTTGCTTACTTCAATGACCTGCTTTACGATAAATGATGCGGACTACAGCGCACTTCTTATGTTGCTGATAATTTGTCTTAGCGAAATTTTCCCAGGAACTTAGTGAAAACTGCACCTCCAGATTCTCACCACTGCCAGTAGGTAATTCTTGTGGAGAGGGCAGAGGTCTGCAACAGCGTTAATGACTTATGGGAAACAAATCCATTTCTCATGACGATCGCTTTAACGAGATATGATCGAAGATCCATAAACGTTGTCGAAGTTGGCCAACATTCGTACCGCCTAGATAATGCGTAGTGTTATAATGAAGAATCATCAACACGGCTAGTATAAAACGATCGCCGATCTACTTCCATGTTGTTCCATTTCAATTTTGGCATAACCCTGTCGAGAGTGAGTGTAAATAATCTTTTGCGAAATCGTATCCCCTTGTCGAGATTCTTTCTTTACGTCGATGTTAACACCGTTATAGAATGGTGGCACTTTGGTTGTGCAATTTTTATCTAAGCCCTGAAGAATATTTATTTCCTGAAGGACGCGCTGCTGGTTCAGAACTCCTGTGGATACTTTTGTCCTTACTGATGCAAAAGTTCAGATAAAAGTGAGATAGAGTGCTTTCTTGTGGGGAAATTTCTCCAGATGTTCACGTCTCACCGAGTCAGTGTTGGACGATTCTTCACCGCAGAGATAGCTCGCCGGAATTTTTGGAGAACTGGTGGAACCACGCATCATCTTCTGTTTCATACAACGACAGGCGGACGTGGCTGTTGAAAAGGGCAGAGTAGTATTCATTGATGAATTTCGTTGTTGCCCTTCTGGAACTGTAGCTGTTTCATCTCTGCTTTAAACTGCGACCATCTCGATCACGTAGTTGGAAGACCTTCGGCTGGCGTTGCAAATGCTCTTGCCAACCTCTGCGGCTCCGGTTATTACTGTTGGCCTATCGCTTAAGACATTTTATCGCCTTTCTGCACAGTTTTGCAAGTCCGGATTTGACGTGGCAACCACCAACATCTTCCCTGATTTAATATTCTTTAATCAGCTTGAGTGTTTTTGGAGAGGGGAACCTCTTGATGCCTTTCAGCTTTGGCCGATGATTGCACTAACGAAAAAACGTTGAACGAAACCATTTGGGTTTTTACTTATTCGAAATTATAGCTGAACTAGTGTTGACGAGAAGGCGAACGCCGTTGATACCCCTCTATTATCTCGTGTTCTAAAGAACAGTTTTATTTCCTCATCATAAATAGCGTTAAATGAACCACTTCTTTCCACAGATCGTTACCTCAGTCCCTCCACTAGGCACACCAAACTGTTCAGTGCATTTTTGCAGTCTGTCCGCACTCGTCTTCCTCAGCTCTGCCAACGCTTGCTATTCTGTTCGTATTTTTTTGAGCAAACGCGAGGTGTTATTGTTCTTTGTTCACGATTAAGCTGACGTTTCGGCGAATTTCGCCTTCTTCAGAGCCTGGAAAGGTCAAGTTGATAGCAACTCACTCGGCCAGACGCCTCCATAACCAAACAAAGAAACCCCAAACCAAGATTTCAATCACTTTGAACACAGCTTTGCACACTCACCGCTTTCTATGAGGCCTCCACTAAGTATGTCACGTAGAGACCAACCGCACAGAAATCACGTGGAAGTATAATGTGCCCCTCACATCAGAAAAACAGTTTTATATACTGCCCTATATCACGCGTGATAATGAGGCATTCTTCCCTGCGGTTCATTTTCGGATGAGAGACGGTGATTGCATGAGCTCGGGTATAGTTTATCTGATCTCCTGTAAGACGTGTGGTGACGAATACATTGGCGAAAC